CGAGCTCCGGAATGGTCAGGTTGAAGAAGGAGTTGTGGTGGAAGAATCGCCACGTGTATGTGGTGCGGTGGTAGTACATGAGGCACGGCGAGGGGCCGTATGGTGATGTGGCGGCCGCCGAATTCCAGGACTTGCACACGTGGCTGAAGCTCTGCCTGTCCGTGGCCGGCATCTTTGACAGTATCAGGTTTAAGAGGTCGTAGGGAAGGTCGGCCCAGTCCCGAACGCTAGCAGCCATCTGTTGAGGACAATAATAACAATAACAATAATAATAATAATTAATCGGACAAAAAAGTATAGTATATCTTAATAATAAGAGAGTATATATTGTGCGATCTAATTGCGATTCTACTAGTCAAAGTTGTGTATGAAAATAGACCTAAATTTTGGGATGCCAATGCCATGCCATGCCATAATTATACGGATACATGCATACTCCTACCTTAACTCCACGTCTTCTGTGCGTGTCATAGGATTCCTTTTTATTTTAGGTGACGACAATACATATTAATCATTCCTTATAAGAATTCATATATCATATCAGTTTTATAAATTCATACCCATAACCATAATTGTTGTTAAATACTGTCAACAAGCAAAAACCCTTTTTTTTTTTTTCCTTGGCTAGAAAAAAGTTGATTATTGTCATGAAAGAGGATGAGAGATCAGAAAAGAGTAAGCAAAAACCTCCCCAGCTCTTGATAATCCACGGAAGCCTACAATCGAAGCAGACATTATACGATGTGGAGGAGAGACGTTACCGCACGACGAGCATTCCTATTATGTGCAACAAATTCTTGCTCCCCTCGGGATTCGGGTGGCTGGCCATTGTGGACACCCACAACGACTGTTGCCTCTGGAATCCGAAATCCTCCGAGACTGTCCCGCTCCCCACGCTGCCCGACGACCGGTATCACTACTACCGGTCCGTCCTATCCGGGCCACCCACCGAGCCCGGCTCCTACATCATCTTCAACTCCTTGTGCGGCGGCAACCAATACTTCTGCAGGATAGGGGTTGACCGCTCGTTTGCGACGCGTATCGAGGAAGAATTTGATGACAACCTAGCAGAAGAGGATGATAAAGACGAGTTTGTGAAGCGGAGCCTCGAAGCCGGAATGTATAGCTTGAGTGCAATCGCGAGTTTTCAGGGGACGATCTACGGGGTCGTGCAA